TGTGTACCAAACCTCGCAGGGTGAGGCCTTGCCCGAATCAGTGCTTCGGTGCGGATCGTAAGCGTAAGCGCGCCTCGTCTCCGTCGTCGTCGTCGTCGTCGTCGTCGTCGTCGTCGTCGTCGTCGGGCTCGTCGTGGTCGTGGTGCATGTAGCTCTGTTCGGTTATCGTTACCCATATGTCGTGACCACCACCCACCACTCCCTTCCTCCCTCCTTCCCTCCTCCCCCCCCCCCTCCTGGCTCGTCCATCCTCCACCGCTCCTCCTATCCGTCCTCCCTGCCCTCCTGCTGCTTCTCCTCCTCCTGCTGCTCTGCTGCTGCTGCTGCTGCTGCTGCTGCTGCTTTTCCTCCTCCTCCTCCTCCACCTGTTCCTGCTCCTGCGCGCCTGCTCTTGCTCCTCTCCCCTCTCTTCTCTCTGCCCTCGCCTCCTCCTCCCGTTCGGGCTCCGCGCACGCCCGACCTCCCCTGGCTCAAGCGGATACTGTCCGCAGGCACGTCTCGATATTGGGGTTGTTTGGACCTCAGTTTCCGAGCCACCGTGACCGTGTACATACATCTGGTTACCTTCCTGGGCGCTGTCTGCCGTCCGAGGCTGGGATCTGCCCACATCCACTGCCCAAGAAGTCGATCTCCCTGGTTCTCGGGAGGCGGCAGACATGTATACAGCTGTGCCCTTTGGGGCCGAAAGTATACCCGTGCCCGCCGCCCCCCTGCGCCGCTGGCCCGGGCCCAGGCCGCCCGAGCACCCCGAGCAGCCCGAGCAGCACGAGCAGCCCGAGCAGCCCCCGCAGCCCGAGCAGCCCCTGCAGGCCGAGGCGTCCCAGCATATCGGCTCCTCGGGCCTGGGCTCAGGCTCGAGCTCGGGCTCGTGCTCTCGCTCGGGCCTGGCCTCGGGCTTGGCGCCGGGACTCGGCCTCGGGCTCAACGTCGGGCGGGCTGCTCGGGCTCGGCCTCGGCCTCGGGCTCGGGCTCGGCGTCGGGTCTCGGGCTCGGCGTCAGGGCTCTGGGCTCGGGCCCAGCGCGAGGGGCTCCGGGCTCCGGCCTCGGGCTTCCCAGGCGGCGGCTGTGGACAGAGCCCCGCCGCACGCGTTAGCGCCTCCGTGCCCGCCGCGCGGGGCTGCCGATGGTCGTCGCGCTCCCCGCTTTGTGTGCCCTGCTGCTGCAGCTCCTGGCCGGCTCGGACGCGCTCGCGGTGAGCGGCGCGGAGGCAAGGAAGCAGGCGCACGGGGGCCGTGGCGGGGCAGCGCCAGACTCAGGAGGGGGAAGATGAGGATGCGGATGAGGATGAGGATGAAGATGAGGATGAGGATGAGGATGAGGATGATAATGATGATGCTGATGAGGAGGATGAGGATGAGGATGATAATGCTGATGCTGATGATGCTGCTGATGATGATGACGATGATGATCAGGATGAGGAGGAAGGGAATGAGGATGATGAGGATGATGATGCTGATGATGCTGCTGCTCATAATGATGCTGATGATGCTGCTGCTGATGATGATGATGCTGATGATGATGTTTATGCTGCTCGTGATGATGCTGTTGACGGTAATGGTGATGCTGATCATGCTGATGCTGATGATGGTGGTGGTGGTGCTGCTGCCTATGATGAAGCTGCTCCTGATGATGATGGTGCTGATGATGCTAGACGGTGATGATGATAACACCGACGACCACGATGCTGATGATGATGGTGATGGTGATGATGATGGTGATGGTGATGGTGATGTTTATCGTGATGACGATGCTGGTGATGACTATGGTGAAAGTGACGAGGATGACGATTATGACGACGACAACGATGATGATGCTGATGAGGGATATGGTGATCATGATGATGATGGTGAAGATGATGCTGCCGCTGCTGCTGATGATGCTGATGATGATGCTGATGATGCTGCTGATGATGATGACGGTGATGACGAGGGTGCTGATGATAATGATGATGATGATGAGGATGAGGACGATGCCGATGATGCTGATGATGCTGCTGATGATGATTGTGGAATCGATGATGCTGATGGTGATGATGATGAGGATGATGATGCTGTTGACGGTAGTGGTGATGCTGATGACGATGATGCGGATTCTGATCTATCGCTGCAGCTTGTCCTGCTGTTTGTGATGCTGCTGCTGCTGATGATGATGATGACGATGATGGTGCTGCAGCTGCTGGTGATGATGATGCTGCTGATGATGATGACGATGCTGATGATGATGGTGACGATGCTGATGATGCATATTATGATACGGCTGCTGCTTGTGCTGCTGCTCCTGATGATGATGGGGCTGCTGATCATGATGAGGACATTGATGCTGCTAGTGCTGATGACGACGATGATGCTGACAATCATGATGATGCTGCTGCTGATGATGATGATGACGATGTTGATTATGCGGATGACGATGATGGTGAAGCCAATGAAGATACTGACGAGGTTGATGATGCTGCTGCTGATGATGATGATTGATGATTCTTATGATGCTGATGATGATGATGATGCTGATGCTGCTGATGATGATACTGATGATGATGATGCTGATGCTGAGGCTGAGACTGATGCTGCTGATTATGATGATGATGACGCTGATGATGATGCTGATGATGCTGCTACTGATGATGATGATGATGATGATGATGATGATGATGATGATGATGATGGTGTGAGGGCAGATGAGGATGAGGATGAGGATGAAGAGGAGGGAGAGGAGGGCAGGCTGAGGAGGAGGAGGAGGATGAGGAGGAGGACGAGCATGAGGAGACGGAGGCGGAGGAGGAGATAGAGACGAGGGAGGAGAGGGACGATAGGCAGGAGAGGAAGTTGTTGGAGGAGGGATAGGGGGAGGAGGAAGGAGGAGACGAGGGAGGTGGGAGGAGGAATAGGAGGATGAGGAGGAGGGGGAGGAGGAGGAGGGATAAGGAGGAGGGAGGAGGTTGAAGGGAGGAGGAAGGAGGGAGCAAGAGGATGAGGAGGGGGGGGAGAGGAGGGAGGAGGGAGGAGGAGGAGGACGGAGGGATGAGGGAGGAGCGATGAGGGATGAGGAAGGAGGAGGAGGGGGATGATGATGATGATGCTGATGCTGATGCTGATGCTGATGATGATGATGATGATGATGATGATGATGATGATGATGATGATGATGATGATGATAATGGTGGTGGTGGTGATGATGATGATGAGGAGGAGGAGGAGGACCAGTGCAAACACAAGACTCATCAACGATATTGGAATACACCCTCCCTCCAAGCTCCCTCTTCACGGGCCCCTACAAGAGTTCATTCCCACTGAGGGAAGTGCCCCGTTGGGGGACAATCGTGTGAAAGTCCGGAAGCGTGCCAACGCACCATTCTCGGGATTGATTGTTGCGTCGTGGCGATCCTGAATCGTGCCAGAACACCATTTCTGGGAGTTCGACACAGTGAATCAATGTAATTTCTCCGTCCTGACAACCCTGAATCGTTCCAGAACACCGTTTCTGGCACATTAGCCATGAGATCCAGTGGAATTTTTGTTATTTTTTGAACGGATGTGTGTGTAGCGCTTAGGCGAGAGCCACATTTTGAAAAGGAGCCGTCTGCAATCCGTAGAACCCGGGCGAATTTCTAAAACGGGTGTGCGCGGCGCTAAGGCGAGAGTCACATTTTGAAAACGACGCGCCCTCAATCCGTGACGCTCTTGCAACTTGTTACGACGAGTATGTGCGGCGCCTATGCGACAGCCGCATCTGAAAACCACCCGCCCTCAATCCGCGAAACTCTTAAAACTTTTTATAGCGAATGTGCGCAGCGCTAAGGCACGAGTCACATTTTGAAAACCACCCGCCCTCAACCCGTGAAGTTCTCGCCATCGTTTTTGCAATACCAGCCAGCGTTGACTCCGGGTCGATCAGACGACCGAACTCGAGGAATCAAAGGAATCAAGCGTGCTTGGAACCCGCAACTCAGCAAGCAAGCAAGCAAGCGTGCAAGCAAGCGCGCAAGCAAGCGCGCAAGCGCGCAAGCAAGCAAGCAAGCAAGCAAGCACGCGTGTAAGCGTGCAAGCAAGCAAGCAAGCAAGCCAGCAAGCCAGCCAGCCAGCAAGCAAGCAAGCAAGCAAGCAAGCAAGCAAGCAGCCATAGGCATAGGCGTAGGCATAGGAGTTAGGGGGGAGGCATTGGCATAGGCATAGGCATAGCCATAGGAATTGGTGTGGGGGGGGGTGCGTAGGAATTAGGGGGGGGGGGCAACGGGCAAGCCTATTTGGAGAGCAAGTGTGCGCGGCGCGAAGGCGAGAGCCAAATTTTGAAAACCACCCGCCATCCATCTGTGAAGCTATTGCAAGTTTTTAAGCATCAGGCTCGTACATGGTAAGGAAGTCTCAGGCGAAACGCCTAGCCCGCCCTTTCGATTGGCCTCGGGGCACGACAGGGAGGAGTTATTCATACGGACAAGGAATGGAGGAGGAGGAAGAGGAAGATGAGGAGGACGGCATGAGGAGGATGAGGATCGGGATGGATGGATGGAGGAAGGGAGGAAGATATGACGTGAGACATGAAGACGACGACGATGATGCAGACTCTGACGCTGACGATGACGATTATGATGATGCTGCTGATGATGATGGTGATGCTCGCAACGACGATGATGATGATGATGATGATGATGATGATGATGATGATGATAGTGATGTTGATGAGGATGATGCAGGTGATGAAGATGAAGATGAAGATGATGATGATGATGATGATGATGATGATGACGATGATGATGATGATGATGATGATGATCATGATGCTGATGGCGCAGATGATGATGTTGCAGCTGGTGATGATGCTGATGATGATGCTGATGCTGCTGATGATGGGGATGGCGACTGTGATGGTGATGGTGATGGTGATGATGACGATGATACTGATGATGATGGTGGTTGTGGTGGTGGCGGTTGTGGTGGTAGATGTGACGGTGATGGGGACGGTGATGGTGGTGGTGGTGGTGGTGGTAATGAAGATTATGTTGATGATTGTGATGATCGAGACGACAGCGACGAATCCGACGACGACGATGAATGGTGATCACGATCCTTTATGATGACGATGCTGCTGCTGTGGATGATGATGATGATGATGATGATGATGATGATGATGATGATGATGATGGTGATGAGGATTAGGATGAGGATGAGTTGGATAGGGATGCTGATTATGATGATGATGATGATGATGATGATGATGATGATGATGATGATGACGACGATCATGATGAGGAGGAGGAGGAGGAGGAAGAGGAGGAGGAAGAGGAGGAGGAGGAGGCGCGGGAGTAGGAAGACGAGACGTGGGAGGATGAGAAGGAGAAGGCGGAGGGAAACGAGGAGGGTGATGAGCTTGACTTGGCTGCCCTCGGCCAGGGACAGGGCCATCGCCTCGGACACCGCCATCACCACCACGAGGCACCCCAGCGCGAGGCTCTCTGGGAAGGGCCCTCTCCCTTCTCCTGCGCCTCCTCCTGCTTCTCTTCCTCGCTCTCGTATTGGTCGTCGTCATTGTCCTCCTCGTCCTCCTTGCCCTCCTTTTTCTCCTCGTCCTCCTCCTCTTCATCCTCCTACTCTTCCTCGTCCTCCAAATTATCGTCCTCATCATTCTCGTCCTCCAAGTCTTGGTCCTCGTCTTCCTACTCCCCCTAGCCCTTCTCGTCCTTCTCCTCCTCCGATTCCTCGCTGTTCGTGGGAGCCACAACTGTCGCCAAAGCGACGCCCAGAGGCTATAGCAGTTGGCCACACTTAGCAGACTATTGGACCTCCAAGGGTCATCTATGATCTTCTCCTCCCCTCCTTCTCCTCCTCCTTCTCCTCCCCTCCTACTTTTCCTTCTGCTTCTCCTTGTCCTCCAAGTCCTCGTCTTCGTCCTCGCTCTCGTGCGTGCCCTTCCCCGAGGCGCCAGAGCGGGTGGCCCCCGAGAGCGACGCCGTCGAGAGCGATGCCCTCGAGATCGATGCCGTCGATGTCGAGGCTCCCGCGCGGGAGGAGCACCGGCGCGAGGCCGCCCGGCGCGGCGAGGGCGCCGAGCGAGGCGCCGACGGGCCACACCAGGGCCTCGTGTTCCCTGAGATCCCTAAGCTCTTTGAGATCGTGGCATCGCATTTTCTCCGCAGCGAGGGGGTTTTTGCATCGTGTCGGGCCCCAGGACCCTCACAGGTCGATGCAGCTTGGAGGATGCCGAGGGCTATGGGGCCCAGGGTTCTGGACGATTCTCCGTGTCTTGGGGTGTTGTTCTTGCTATCCATATCCTCTTGATATTACCCTCCTCTCCTCCTCCTCCTCCTCCTCCCTCCTCCTCCTCCTCCCTCCTCCTCCTCTCCCTCCTCCTCCTCCTCCTCCCTCCTCCTCTCCCTCCTCCTCCTCTCCCTCCTCCTCTCCCTCCTCCTCTCCCTCCTCCTCTCCCTCCTCCTCTCCCTCCTCCTCTCCCTCCTCCTCCCTACCGCGCCGACTCCTGACACCTCCCTCCTCCTCTCCCTCCTCCTCCTCCTCCTCTTCTTTTCCTCACCCAGTGTCTCATTCAGGATCGCTATTTAGGCTATCGTATGTTGATGAGGATGATGATCATGACCAATATGATGATGATGATGATGATGATGATGATGATGATGATGATGATGATGATGATGATGATGAGGATGATGATAATGACCACTCTGATGATGATGCTGATGCTGCTGATGATGATGATGATGATGTTGTTGGTACTCAGGATGATGATGATGATGATGATGATGATGATGATGATGATGATGATGATCTTTTTAATTTCCCATATGCAAAAGGACGGGGTTCTTGTTACTCCCCATCTCCAAAGGATGGGGTTCTTGTTTTCCATATGGTAAGGATGTTGTTCTTATTTCCCATATCCTAAGGAGAGGGTTCTTGTTTCCCATATCCAAAGGATGGGGTTCCCGCCTTCCGTTATCGGGGGCGCCAGCGCGCCTCAGCGAATGTCGTCCCGCGCGGGGGGCGCAGCGTTGAAAGTCGCTACTCGTTCAAAATCGTCATTTCACTCATGTATTATCCGCGTGAAAGAATCGGATTCGGGATGGTAGTGCTGGTGGTTTTTGTTCAGTTTATATTTGTATAGCTATTTTTACACGTATGTTTATATGTGCGTGCCAAGGCACATGCACATTTTCAGTCAGTGTCTCTGTGTTTGTGTGTGTGTGTGTGTGCTTGCTTGTGTGTTTGGTTGTTTCTTTGTCTGCTTGTTTGTGTGTGTGTGTGTGTGTGTGTGTGTGTGTGTGTGCGGTGTGTAAGGTTTGTATAATGTGTGTTGTGTGTTGAGTGCGTGTGTGTGTTGTGTGTGTGTGTGTGTGCTACGCGTCACTTGTGTGTGTATGTGTGTGTGTGGGTGGGTGTCATGTGCGTTCTGCGTGTTTCGGGCTAGGTCTGTTGTGTGTGTATGTCATGTGTGTTCTGTGTGTTTTGTGTTAGGTTTGTTGTGTGTGTGTGTGTGGTGTCTCTGTGTGTGTGTGTGCATGTGCGTGTTCGTGTGCGTTGCGTGTGTGTGTGTGTGTGTCTGTGTTGCTTGTGTTTGGTTTGTTGTGTGTGATACGCGTATGCGTGTTGTGTGCGTGTGTGTATGTGTTTGTGTGTGTCTGTGTGTGTGTGTGTCTGTGTGTGTAATTTGTGTGTGCTCTGTGTGTTGTAGGTTTTGTGTGTGTGTGTGTTCTGTGCGTGTGTGTGTGTGTGTGTGTTCTGTGTGTTTTGTGAGTGTGTATGTCCACTCACAGAACCACTGAGAGAAGCTCGCCCTCCTGATGCAACTCACAGCCCGCGACCGGATTGCTATTCTTCAGGAGACGCGCTGGGAGGCTTATCGAATCAGCACGTGGGCCCTCTCCTCCCCAACCGCTGGCTCTTCGCCACCCCCGCCCGACTCACGGACAGGCAGGGGTTCTTTGGGGGAGTCGCCTTGGTGCTACCGGCTGCCTTTGTGGGCCGTCGTGGCTGCGGCTCTTCCTCCACGCGCAGGGGCCGCGATCTGCGAGGGCAATGTTGACATGCAGCTGCCCGCACCCTGACAGGGGGAATGGGGACGCAGCCTGCTGGCTCCAGTACCTTTGCAGTAGGGCGCTGCGCCCATCCCAGTCGACGGACCCACCCGGTGCGGGCACCAGGGGGAATCCCAGATCGCTTCTGTTGCTGTCTCTGCCACCTCCACCCGCTCCTATCGGTGCAGAAAGCTTTTGGCGCATGCGCCTGTCCGATCGCGCCGCTGTCATCGACCCTACCACCTCCTCCACGCACCGACGCGACCGCGACATGACCCCCAGCTTCTTTCAACACCACCCCCCCAAAGCCGTCCATGATCTCTGGCAGCGCTACGACAGCCTCGAACACGCCTCTGCTGTTCCGCAGGCCGACCTCTCGCAGGCGGCCACCGAGATGTGTCCTGCGCCGGCCGCGCCAGAGGAACTTCCGCCCGCCCACCCCGGCCATGGCGCGGTCGGCGACGACCTCCCCCGTGGAGGCGCCCTGCGCCGGCCACGCTGGCTGTCTCTCCCCACCTGTCCCCGTTCCTGCTATCCCCGCTCTCGCTTCCTCCGGCCGGGTCGCCATCTCCTCTTCCCTTGCGACCTGGGCGGCGCTTTGGAAGCGTCGTTCCAGGGGCAGCGGCCCCGCGGCCACGCTCAGCCGCGCGATATCCGCTGCCGCTCCGGTCGCCCTGGTCGGGCAGCTGCGGGCGTGGCTCACCCAAACGGGCCGGTCCGGGGAGCCCCTCGCGCCCCCCCTCTGCCACCCACTGCTTGGCCCGCTGGCGGCACGAGGCTGCCGTCGCCGCTGCCCCCGCTCTCACTCTGGGGCACCTTGGGCCAGGCGCGGAACGGCCACGTCTCCACCCCGCGCACCGGGTCGGTCGCGAGCACTTTCGCCGCACCGTCCCGGTGCAGGGCGCCCGGGGGCCCCGGCGGCGCCCGGCTGTCCAAGCAATCTGACGTTGAGGAGGCCCTGTGGGCCAGCAGAGCCGCCATCTGGGGTCCGCCCCAGATCAGCCTGAGGCTGGACAGAAGGCTGCTGGACGCCTACTTCGCCGACAAAGCCCCTCCGCCCCTCGCAGTCCTCCCTCGACCGGCCTGGAGACGGCTTGCCATTCTCGTGCTCCAGCCCACCGGCAGCGCCTCCAGCGTCGATGGCGAGCCTTACGAGCCGTATCACATCGGCTTTCGCTTCGTCGCCTGCCTGCTTGGTCAAGGAGTTCTGGCGGCGGGCGATGACGCAGCACTCCTCGACTGCGTGCTCGGTCCCTCCGTCGACCTCGTGGTCTGAAACCCAGAAGTCCCGAATGCTGAAGTCCTCGGGGATCTCAGGCCCTTACAGCTTCCCTCGTGCCTCCGCCGCCTGTTCGGGGCTGCCATCGCCGACTCGGTCGGGCCCGCCATTGAACCTCGTCTTTCTCCCGACCAGGCAGCGGTCAAGGGAGGCCACTGCGGACCCAACATCACCCGCGCCGTCTTTCATTTCACTGCACGTCCCGCAGCCCCTCACGCTCCTGGACCCGCCTGGCAAGCGCTCCTGGAGAGTGACCTGGGCACGGTGTAACAATACGTGCGGGAGGCTATCACGCATCTGCCACCCTGCCCTGCCCGGCCAGCGCCGTCTTCTTCGAGAGGTTGTCCATCCAGTGGATAGACGGCGTCCTGCACAGATGGGTGCTCCCTGCCTGGTACCGTCGTGGCCTCTCTGCCCTTTGCAGTGCGAGGCGCGTTCGGTCCATCAGCGGCGGGCGTCAGTTCCTTCTCAGACGGCTGCCCTGGCCCGTCAGCATGGGAGGGACCGCCTCCTCCCTCTGCTTGGGCGTGGGATGCGACCCTGATTATCTTCGCTGGCGCCGCTGATTGCGCCAGGGCCAGGTGTCCCGCTTACGTCGACGGCCTTGCCGCTCTGCGCTCTGCCGCCGCTCCGGCCCCTCGGATCACGACCTTCGTCCCCTGGGCTGCGTTGGCCGCGGGCTCCTCCGTCGCCGCGCGCTCCTGTCGCGACCTCGCCTCTCCAGCCCAGGCACCTGCCCTCCACCGCGCCGTCGGCCAGCTCCCCCTCCGTGCCGACTGCGACCGCGACGGCGCTGGGCGCGTGCTCGTCGCCGGGGCTCCCGCGCCCTTCCTGCGGCCAGAGTCGGCAGTGAGGCGGCCGGGCTGGCGGCCGTCTTCGTTCAGCCTCGTCGCCGCTCTGCCAGGGCGGCACCCGGGCCCGCAGGTGCCAGCGAGTGGTGGGAGCGAGTCCTGGACGCCTCTGCCCTCGGCAGCGGCGGCGCCCGTCACTCTCGGCCCTACCTCGGGGCAGCCAGAGGCATTTGTACTCTGCCAGGGCATGTCCCCACCGATGGCCGGCACGACGACGAACAGGTGGGAGCTATGCGGGAGGCCTCGTGGGCCACGGCCACGGGGAAGGCTGCGATCCGCGCGCAAGCCACCGGCCGCGCCCAATTGTCCGCAGGCAGGCGCCTGATCGGGATCGGCCGATTTTGATTCAGACAGCTGAGCTTGCCACTCGGCAACAGACTGATCAGCAGGAGGGCAGGCAGCAAACTGGGGAACGTGCCGACTGAGGTCACCAAGGCGAGAGCCGATAGCAATACACATGGTGTGATAACTATGATCAGCCGCTGCACGCATATCGAACAGCTCCTGAGAGACCATGGACCAGAAAATCAAAGCTGGCGACGTTGCCGCTGGTAATGGTGGGTAGCGTCGTGCATGATGATGGCGATTCTGATGGTATGATGATGGTGATGATAATCCTCATCAGGGGTACTAACAGGTGGCTGATGATTGGGAATCGAAAGCGGAGGATGGTGATCGAGAGAAGAACGGGGTGTACATGATGCTGCCATCACTTATGATGAGGATGCTGATGATGCTGATGATGATGGTGACGACGACGATGATGATGATGACGATGATGGTGATGGTGAGGATGATGACGATGATAATGATTCAGATTATGATGCTGATACTGATGACGATGATGATGCTGATGACGATTATGACTATGATGCTGGTTATGGTTGAAAGGTTGTTGATGATGGTGATGACGACGATGGTTATGAATATGATGATGCTGATGATGATGATGATCATGGTGGTGATGATGATGATGATGAGGCTAGTGATGATGGTGATGATGATACCTTTGTGATGAGGGTTCGTAACGTACTTAGGATGGTTAGCTGAGGTAGCATGCGGATGGACGAGGGCGAGGGATCGGAAGGGAAGGTGGAGGACGAGAAGGGTGCTACTGCTGATGATGATGAGGAGACTAATCATGCTGATGATGATGCTGATGACGATGACGATGATGATGACGATGACGATGACGACGATGACGGCGATGATGATGATGCGAATGATGATGATCATGATGATGATGATGATGATGATGATGATGATGATGATGATGATGATGACGACGAATAGGATGATGGCGACGATGATGATGTTGATGATGTTGTTGAGGATGATGATAAAGATGCTGCTGCTGATGCTGATGACCGTCATGATGTCGATTGTGCTGATGCTGATTATGCCGATGATGCTGATGATGAGAGTGAATCTGATGCTGATCCTGATGATGATGTCGATGCTGCTGCTGCTGCTGATGATGATGATGATGATTATGATGATGATGATGATGATGATGATGATGATGATGATTCTGATCATGTTGCGGCTGCCGCTGCTGCTGATGACGACAACGACGACGATGATGACGATGCTGATGATGACGATGATGATGATGATGATGATGATGATGATGATGATGATCATGATGGTGATAGTGATGATGATGATGATGATGATGATGATGATGATGATGATGATGATGATGATGATGATGATGTCGATATCGCTGATGATGCTGATGCTGCTGATGCTGATGCTGATGATGATGCTGATGCTGATGCTGCTGATGCTGATGATGATGATGATGATGATGATGATGATGATGATGATGTTGATGATGATGATGCTGCTGATGATGATGATGATGACGATAATTATTCTGATGATGGGGAGGAAGGTCAACGGAGTAGGGTGATAAGGGGGTCGAAAGGAAGGATCTAGAGGCGGTGACTGGGGAGGGGTTGGGTGGGACGGAGGATGCGGCTGCTCGATCGGCTGCGGGCAGATTTTTGGAGTACCCCTGGGTTGGCGTCCGGGCTGCGGAATCATCGCCGCAGGTGCCTCAGACCTGGGCAGCGACCACAGTTACGATCTCGACGAGAACCTCGGCGAGGGAACCGACGCCCTCATGGACTTCGACGGCACCGCAGCCTAGCGAGGGTCTCGTCGGCGAGGAGGAGGATGACGATGATGATGAGGAGGCAACGAGTACGTAAGGAGATGGAGGCGAATGGGGATGATGGTGAGGAGGATAACAAAATGGAGAAGGATGATTATGCTGATGGTGATGATGGTGATGATGGTATAAGGTGATTGTGATAAGGCAGAGGAGGCGGACGAGGAGCCGGACAGCGAGCATACTATCAGAGGTCGGGTACGAGAAGGCTCACTGCTCTGAAGCCGCTCCTGCCAGGACACCGGCTTTTATGTTTGGTGTCTTGCGCGGCGTTCGCGCAGAGTTGTGCGCCAGTGTGATCGGAGGGAGGCCTGGCGGAGCCAGTTTTCCTGCTGCTGCTACTCCTTTGTTCGTGGTGCCTGGCTCCGTCGATTTTCAGGTGATGTCTCGATTGTTGGGGGTGTTCCAAGAATGTCCCGTTTGAGTTCCATTGGTGCTCCGAGTGATTTGTAATGGTGTACCAATCGATGTGTTGAGATGTCCTTATTGATTTGCGATGGTGTCGTGACTTATTAGCGAGATAGCTACCAAGGTTTTCTGATGAATTCCCGATCTGGGTTGCAAATGAGTAATGATGGTGGGGCGATGATGCCCCCATTGATTGGCAAATGTCTCGAATCATTTGCGACGGCGTCCCGATCGAATCTGTAATGGTGGTATTTTTGCAAGCGCTTGCCGCAGAGAGTGAGTTCTTGTACCCTCGGTGTGCGCCCTGTGTGGTGCACGCTGTGCAAAGGTGCAAAGTATGTGGTGCGAGCTTTGTGGCGCAAGCTATGTGGTGCACGCTGCTGGGTGCAGCCCACGAGGTGCAATTACGTCAACTCCAAAGCTCGTGCAGACATCTCATCCTCCCTCCCTCAACTTGTCGGCAAAGCTCATCTGGCCATGGTCTCAGCAAGCGCAGGGGTGCGGTGAACTCAACCGCGCAGTCGAGTCCGTCCTGCAGGTCGCGAATTGATGGTGGTGACGGTAACGACAGCGACGCCAACGACGATGGTTATGACAGTGGGGATGACGCTGATGCCGACGGCGATGATAGTGGAGATTGGGACGATACAATGCCGACGATGACAATGGTGATGGTGATGATAATGACTGTGGCAATAATGACGCTGGAGATGATGATGATGATGATGCTGGTGATGATGATGATGATGATGATGATGATGGTGATGATGATGATCATCATCAAGATGATGGTGCTGGCGATGCTGATGAGGAAATGCCAGCGCGCAGAAGATGACGGCGGCGGCGATGATCCAGACGATTGTGATGATGACTACGGTGGCAATGACGACGCTGACGACGATGATACTGATTGTGCTGATGAGGATGACGAGAACGTGCGCGCCCGCAGATCTTCAGGCATGCTGCCATATTTTCTTGAAGCCCATGGGGCTTTCCTTTGTTGTTAAACGCCTCTGTTTTGTCATGGTTTGGCAACCCATGGTTTTAGCAGGATTCCGGCGTGCGCACGCGGAGGCGCGCGCGCGTGGCCCGCATTGTACCCGTGTTTTTGATGATGCTTGATCGTGACTCGTACTTCCATCTGCTGCCCGCGCTGGAGGACCCCCTGCGCCGCCGACTTCAAAGGTGGCCTGCGTTGTACGACTTGAGAGGGGTGGTGGGCGCGCGCTGATGGTCCACCGTTTTCGACATGCGCGCGTAAGTGGCCCGCATGGCCTAAGTGGGCACACTGGCTAAGAACGCTTCATTGTGGTACCATTTCAGCGAGAGCGCGCGTAGAATTCTGGCAGCTTTTGGCTGACAGTCTGACAGTTGTTCATAGTATAAATCGGTTTGGTTGAATAGCCATGTCTTTAACGTGTCAAACAACCGATTGTTGTATGAGTTGGGCGTGCCCGTGCGATTCCGCGTGCGTGTGTCCCGTAATGTTTTTCTTTTTCTGGTAGCGAAATCTTAGAACAAGCATTTCTCAGATCAATGCGTGTGCATCGCATCGTGTTCTTTGGCACTAGATGTGGGGGGTATCAACAGCAGCCTGGTTGCCATGCTATCATCTGATTGTTCGGACCTACGATCGTGCAGAGTAAATCTTGAAACAAGCAATATGCGCAGGGGGAGCGGATAACCCCTGGCCTCGGTGGAGGCCGGGGGTAGAGTCAAGTGTCTCTTAGGAGAGGAATCAGTGTGCTGCAAGCTGGCTGGTGCATTTCATGGGGTGCAGTCCATGTTGTGCAAGCTATGTGGTGCCCCGTCTTTTCAAGACCTTGAAGTCGTCACCTCGACTGCTCGAGCAAGCATTCCGCCCACCCACCCGCAAGTTGTTGGCAAGACTTTCACGGCCGTGAGCGCAGCTACCTCTCGTTTGTGAAGGGCCCCAACGACGCGCGGATCCTGCGAATGCGGATCCGTGATTCGGGCAGGCGGGTGATGAAGATGATGAGGACGGTGGTGGTGGTAATGACGCTGCTGCTGCTGATGAAAGTTCTGATGGTAATGTCGACTGTGTTGATGGTTTCGATGATGCTGATGATGATGGTGATGATGATGCTCATGATGATGATGCTGCTGCTAATGATGATGATGATGATGATGATGATGATGATGATGATGATGATGATGATGATGATGGCGACGACGATGACATCGATGATGATGATTATGATGTTGATGATGATGATGGTGGTGGTGAGGATGCCGCTGCTGCTGGTGATGACGGATCTTCCTTTGCAGTTTTGGTTTATGCTCAATGCTCATCGTTGTCATGCTCGCCAGGCTTCGTTAGCGGCTGGAGCGCGAGAGCGGCCGCTGGCGCTGCAATGGACTTGGTGCATCGCCTCTTCGAATCACCCCTTCTCTTCCCCAAGATCGGAGGACGCCAACTATACACTTACACCGATCCTGTCCAGACCCATCCTGGGCCTCACGAGGGGTGTATACCCAGAACTGTTTAACCTATCCCCATGCCCACCAGGCTATGGTATCTCAGACCCACCAGCCCACTCCCCCCAGTTGGGAATACGCCACTCGAAGCTCGAAGGGAACAGCCTACATCCCCATCCAGGGGGGTGAATCGGCCAGTGGGGCCAAGACTGGATGGGGATCGGTTAAACGATGCTCATATACGCCACTCCTTGCTCGGCGAGCAGCGCATACATGCAATGACCCTGGGCCCGGGATGGGCCTGGCCAGGATGGGTGCATAGGTATACAGCTGACGGCCTCCGACAAAGAAGACGGGCGCGGAGCTGGAGAGGGTGGCGGGGGCCGTTGCCAGAGTCTACGGTCCAGGCTACAAGGGCGACCCCGCACGCGCCGGTTCCACGGCTCAGGATCGGGGCGCCTTCAGGCTGCTGCACCTGACGGGCCACCCGCTGCCGCGCGACGCGCCCCGCCTGCTTCTCTGCCTCGGGCTGGCGCTGGCGTGGGTGGCCGCCTACCCGCTGGGCCTGAAGCTCCGCTGCTTCCTGTGCGCGGTGGCGTATCTAGTGGTCTTCAGCCCATCCCGCCACCCCAGACATGCTCGCGTCGTGAAAAAATCACGACGGGATGTTTTTGGCCGTTTTCGGTATCCGGGGTCCTTCGTCAGGCCCCGGGGGCATAAGAAAAAAAACGACCCGGGATACAGACGTGGCCTTGGGCAAGGGTCGGGACTTCTGGAGACACCGTGTTACAAAAAGTCAAGACATCGCATGTTTGGGACCTTGCCTGGGTTGTAGGTCAGGGGCTCCTTGGATGCCCGTGGGGATGTTTTGGGAGGTCTCTCGGAGGCCTCTCGGAGGCGATCTTGGCGGTGTCTTGGGTCCTCCCGGGCGCCTTTTCCGCTGGGGCCTGAAGCTCCGCGGCTAACTCGTGCGCGGTGGCGTGTTCTTTCACCGAGAGTGCTTTCACGTTCTTCGAGAGGGGCCGATGCTACACCTCTTTGGCGCAGTTCTTGGGAAACCTCCTGTACGTTCCCGTTCTTCTGGACCTCTACGGCATGCTCTTCGGGTCTCATCCCGTGGCGTACGTCCTGCTGTTTCCTGTCAACATCTGGCTTCTGGAGATTGTGCTCGGGCACCTTTTCATCTTGATTTGGAACTACAACGTCGGATGGAACTATGACGATTATTCAGACGTTCTGGCCAATGGCTGCATCAGGATCGGTCACGGGGTGTGGTGGCTAGGACTTGGAGCAGGATGTTATGTCGTTTATCCCATGCTGGTGTCGCTGACAGATAGACTGTAGAGCTAGGTGTTCCAGTAGCCAGATACGGGTACCCCTTTTTCCACCAACCTCCTCCGTCTCCGCCTCCCTCTCCCTCCTATCCTTCCGCCTCCTCCCTTCTCGTTCTTCCCCGTTACCTCTCCCCCATCCGTGAAAGTTCCCCACGTCCCCAGTAGAGTTCTTGTTTTCTTCTTTCTAGTCCTCGCCCAACCCACTACACCTTCCTCCTCCCTCCTCCCTCCTCCTCATGTTTCCGCACATGCTCATACTCAACCGCCTTCCTTCCCGCTCACAACACGTACCCGTATTCACACATAACACATACACATGCACATGCACACATACATATACATACATAGTTATATACAAATGTGTATACATGTATGCATGTTTACATACATGCATGCGTGTCTGCATGTAAGTATGCATACATGTCTGGATGTACTCATGCACGTATGTGTGCTATAGGTACATGTATAAACCCGTCATTACATACATACGTACAACCACGCATACATACACACATATTCATACATACATACACACACGCACCCATGCATGCATACACATATTTACAGGCACATACACATACATATCTTTACACTCATACATACATGCATGCATACGCACACACATGCAACCATACACACATGCATGCATACACGTCTACAATCATCACACACATGCACATACACACAACTAAACACACACGCAAGCACATCCACACACATACACGTAGTGGCACACACATTCACACATATGCATACACATTGATTCACAAATGCACATACGTACACACATACATGCATACATACACATACATGCACACACATCCACACGCACACATACATACATACATACATACATACATACATACATACATACATACATACATACATACATACATACATACATACTTACTTACTTACTTACATACATACATACATACATACATACATACATACAACATGCATGCCTACATACATACATTCATACGTGCACATACGCACCTACACACATACGTACACACATACATGCATATATACCTACACACATACACATATACATATATGCATGCATGCATGTCTGCATACATCTATCCATCCATCCATACATATACATATACATTGACATACACAACATGTCTATACACAGTTGTTTATATTCACATACATGCGTGCATGCATACATACATGTAATCATACACAATTGCATTCCCCAATCAGAGCTTGCCTCTGTAGGGGTCCCGGCGTATTCATATGGTTAGGTTAGCTGCGCCGCCGGTGCCCGGGTGCCCGGGTGCCCGGGTGCACGGGAGCTGCGTCGCCGATTTCAGCGGCCCGCCCAGGTGCCCGGGTGCCTGGGTGCCCCATAGCGCTATAGCCCTATAGCCCTACAGCCCTATAGCCCTATAGCCCTATAGCCCTATAGCCCAATAGCCCAATAACCCTACAGCCTTATAGCCCTATGGCCCTCTAGCCCGATAGCCCTATAGCCCTATAGGCCTGTAGCCCTATAGCCTTGTAGCCCAATGGCTCAATAGCCCTATAGCCCTATAGCCCTATAGCCCTGTAGCCCTATAGCCCTATACCCCTACAGCCCTATAGCCCTATAACCCTATAGCCCAACAGCCCAATAGCCCTACAGCACTCTAGCCCTCTAGCCCCATAGCCCCATAGCCCCATAGCACTATGGCCCCATAGCCCTACAGCCCCAAACAGTATTAGGATCGTGGTTTCTCTCCTGTCTTATACGCACAAGCATACACATACATACACATTCATCCATCCATCCATCCATCCATCCATGCATGCATCCATCCATCCATCCATCCATCCATCCATCCATCCATCCATCGATCCAGGTATCCATACATGCATCGGATACATACGCATGTACACATATATATATATATGTACATATATATACACATATTCTGGGGGCAGGCGAGCGGCCCCCAAACCGATGGCTGGACCTTCCATGAGCGGACTGCGCCAGGGGGGGAGGGCATCCTACCACCCCTTCTTCGTACGCAGCGCCACCAGCTTCGTGAGGAAGGCTTGCGGGGCGCTTGTAGCCTCGGGGCCTAGACGGACTCATCGCCCGAAGAGTTGCGATCTCGTCTCGTCCCTCCTCTTCTCCCTTATCTCCTCTTCTCGTTTCCTCTCTCCTCTCCTCTCCTCTCCTTTCCAATTCCTCTCCTCTCCTCTCCCCTCCTCTCCTCTCATCTCTTCTCTCCTCTCATCTCTTCTCCCTCTCCTCTTCTCTCATCTCTTCTCCCTCTCCTCTCCTCTCCTCTCCTCTGCTCTGCTCTGCTCTGCTCTGCTCTCCTTTCCTCTCCTCTCCTCTCCTCTCCTCTCCTCTCCTCTCCTCTCCTCTCCTCTGTTCTCCTCTCCTCTCCTCTCCTCTCCTCGCCTCTCCTCTCATCTCCTCTCCTCTCCTCTTATCTTCTCTCTTTCTTTTGTTCCCTCGCCCGGCATCCTGGCCTGCCGAGAGCCGTCGGCGCATCGCGGGTTACCTGGAGGTGTGCTGCCGGCGCTGTAGTGAGCGCTCGCCCGCCCTCCCCAATCATCGATCGCGCTCCTTTCTCTTCCTCCCTCCTCTTGCCTCGCTCCCTCCTCCGCTTCCCATCGTTGTCCTCACTCTCGCTCCTCCCTTCCTCCTTCCTCTCTTCCTCTCTTTATCCAGCCTCATCCTTTCCGTCCTCTTTCTCTTCCTGTTCCTCTTCCTCTTCCTCTTCTTTTCCTTCTCCCTCTTCTTCTTCTGTTTATTATTTTTCTTCCTCTCCTTCCTACTTCAAGTGTGGGCTCGGTCGCCACTTCGACGAGTGCGCCATCCACCGTCCTCCTCTCTGCGCTCGTGCTCCCCCTCGCCTCCCCCACAGACTGAGAGGGGCGCGCGGCGGCCTGCTGCGCGTGACCAGGACAGGGGGGGTGGGGTGTCGTGCGGGGCTAGGACGAGGACGAATCCGTTTCAGGGCGTTCCGGAACGCTCTGAGAAGGCCGCGGCGCCCGAGGCGTGCTTCAGAGCCGCCAGATCTCAGAGATTCTCGATGTATCCTCACCCGATGCTGTACTCGTCCTGCGACGCTCACGCGGTTCTCTGCGACGCTCACGTCGTGACCGTGTGGCCATGGGCCGGGCCCACAGGTGCCATCGCCTTCGGGCCGGTTCGTTGCCACTTGCTTGGGACTGGTGTGCCCCACTGGATACGTGCGTGGCGTTCCGGAGTGGTCCAGCCTTCCATCGGACGCTGTGCTTCCATCCTCGCTCCGTCCCAGCCGACCAGGCAGGTCTACGCCGTCGACACGGTCCTGGCCCTTGGCGCCCCCTGGCGACATGGCCAGTGTGTACCTAGCCTTCCCCCACTGCAGTGTCTGTGAGGATTGTACGTGCAGGTTACTCTCTGCCTGTCCCGACAAGCGCCTTCACCGTGGTGGATTGGCGCCGCAGCGCGTTTCACAGAATTCCCTGGCATTTTGCCACAGGGCTGCACGATGCCCGAGCT